ATTCACCTATGAGGTCATGAAGGTATTTTTTAATTTTGGCTGATGCTGTGTCTAGTATTGGATGGTTACTGTGCTGGTTCTCTTTTATGTTTACTTCTGGGCTTATTTTCTCATGCTCAGCAGCTGGAGATTTTTTTTTTATTTCTATCTCTTGTCATGTTTCTGTTTCTTTCAGACTGGAGTGTCCTGGGGGTCTCTGGCCCTTTTCCTATTGTTTAGGGTCTTTCTGAAGAGTGCTGGCTGGGGTTTTGCTGCCCTCCTCAAGTTGCTGTTACCTGAGATATCTTAAACTCCCTCCCAGGGGCTTGGGATGGTGTGGGGACACTCACCCCTGGCCACATAGTCCAGAGTTCAGGGTGCAGGCAGGCAGGCCCAATTCCCCAAAGCTGGTCAGTCACAGCAGGAAACTGGAAAGTTGTGGTTCTGTACTTTTGATTATTGTCTGAAGAGGTGTTTTCAGAAGCAGCTTCTCTGGGCTCTGTTTGCAGCGGTGGCAGCTCTGTGGGGCTCGTTGCGTGGGCCTGGTGGTGCGAAGACACACTCACCCGCCTGGGGACCTCAGGGGCGCTCCAGTGGTGGGGGCCCGCTCGGTGCTCACACCAGGGATTTGGGTCCTCCCGTGAAAAGCGCAGGCATATGTAGGAATTCAGACTGTAGTATAAGACTTCAAATGAAAAGTTGGTAGTTTATTTCATCTCATTTTTTCTTTCACTCAATAGTTTATTTTTTTCTTTCTTCTCCCCTTCTTTCTTTTGTGCTCTTTATTTGTTGTATGTTTAACTACATAAGACTAAATTTACACGTGACACAATGGCATAGCCAATATAAGATTAGGCTAGACGTTATTTAGCATAATATATGGTCAGGATCTAATTTCAAGATTTTTTGAAGAACTAAAATTTATGAATAAAAAAAGACAACCAAATAGAAATAGGGAGAAGAATTTATAGGGGTAACTTAAGAAATACAGATGAAAAATAAATAGATGTTGAACTTTGTTAGTGGTTTGATTTCTAGAAAAATAATAATTCAATCTCCAAGTATGTTCAGGTGTGAACCTGGGGGGATTTACCTGCCCCACCATGTGGGGCAGATACTCAGCAAATTCCCCCATGGAAGACAAATTTTCTTAAATCCCACAGGATGCCACATTGTCCTTTAAGGGCCACGCAGTGAGGATTTCCCAGGAGCTTTGATAAGGCTGCTTCCTTTCATCCTTGAGGGTAGTGGAGGGGGAGAAGATACCCCTGGCCTTGCCATTGCCATGTGTGATAGAGGCCCTGACTACATGCCTGCCTGCTCACCGGGTACAATAACTGGTGGCATGCTCATCAGTTCAAATGTAGTCCTGATTTCCCTGGTTTCCTTATATATGGTACCATATTAGCCAGCTTCTAGTTTCTAGAATATTGTTTCTTAAAAAGGCAAGGTCTTCCAGAAGAATCCAGATGGGAGCTCGGGACACTGTACTGTTACAAGAAAGAATATTTTCAAACACGTGTAGGTGGCATCAGAGGAGCCTGGTTAGAGGCACCCTCACCAAGCAACTGGTGACAATTTTGAATATAAATACAGAAAAATTTTGTAGTTAACTGGAATGTTGAGTCTTTAAAAGGTAATAATTTCACATTATGATCAAAGGGAAAAATCTAACATTTTAAAGCAGTATTTTTATTTCTTTCCGTCCTTCCCTCCTTCCTAGTTTTATATCCCCATCTCTCTTCCATTTTCTTCCTCGTACTAGAGTCTGAACCCAGGGCCTTCACACTGTACTACGTCTCAGCCCCACCTCCTTTCTTTTACATTTAAGATGGGGTTCTCCTTAGTCACTAAGTGGGCCAGTCTGGGTTTGAATTTGTGAAGCTGCTGCCTCAGTTTCAGGATTGTGTGTTTGTTTGTATTTTTCCCTTTAAAATACCCCAATTTAAATTCTTAGATAGATGGATAGATACATACATAGAGATATAGATTTTACCTACCCAAAGAAGAGTTATGTAGAGGCCCCCCAATTCTTTAAAAATGTTAGAGAGCTTGAAGCCTAGTAGTTCTGTACTAGAGAAAAGTCAGTCTTGCTAATGCAGGTTAATTGATTAGTATCTATGGGGGGGGTGCGTTTGGACTGGAGCTCTATGGTACAATGCTTGCCTAGCCCTGGGTTCAATCCCCAGCACTGCTAAGAAAAAACGATGTGGTGACTCATTTAGTTCATAAAGGAATGCATAGCATTTTGACTCAAATGTGAATATTCTACTGATTAATCTTTGTAGTAATAGTGATTATGGTCTGATTGTTTAAGAGTGTTTTACTATACAAGGAAAATCTTGCAGCAATGGTGCTTTGATGGTAGTTGATTCTTAGCTCACTGAAGGATGACAGCAATAAATTGCAGCTGGACCTGAAATCTAAGCTGAAGAAATTTCTGAGTAACTTACAAGGCATAAAATATTCTTATCAATACAAAATACCCCACAACTCTACGTAAGAATTCTGAAAATTGAAGAAATTTCAGGCCTCAGAAAAATGCACTTGGGTTCTCCCCTACCACTACCATCAGCGCTGAGGAAAGAATTTCGTCCCTCTTAGAATGTTACCTGTGTTTCATAAGCAATCAGACTGTGTTACTAGAATGACTGGTAGAGGACAGAAACTTCTGGAACATACACCAGGAACTGCTTAAAACTCAAAGCCCTTCCTCCAATTTATTTATTTTTAATTTTATTTCAAAGAGGGTAAAATTAAACAGAACAAAACAGGTCTGAAGAAAACAATGTAAGAGACACAAATTTCACTTGATCTTAGCCAAAAGGCCAAGAAGCGATTGAGACACAGATTTCAAAGCAAGACAACTAGAGATCTTCACTGTCTATCATATTGTATCTTGTTTTCTTCTGAATTGTTGTCCATATCTCCTCACACAGTGAATTCATACAAAACAAAATAGTATTAAACTGATCAGAACAGGATGATGAAGGGATTTTAGGTCTTCAAAACAAGACAATAGGGAAGTCAACCATGGCTGTCATAGTGTCTCTCATTCTCTTCAAAATAGCTGTCCATACCTTCATGTATGTTGAAATTAAACAATACAAAACAGACTAAAATCACTCTGAACCAAGAATAATAGTATTACTGGATTTCACCACATGATGCTATGGAATCGGCACTGGGTACCTTAGTGTCTCTTTGTCTATAAAGTAGCTTTTAATTTATCATGCATTGTATAATTGATTCTCCTAACTAGTTAGGAGAAGTTCTGTGCATGTATGAGTCTCTACATGTATACTTATCTTTTTCATTTTAGAGGGAAAAACAAAACAAAACAAAACAAATTCCTAGAAAAACATGAAACAAAAAAGACAAATAACAATGGAAAAGAGCCCAAACCACTGACAATTTAGGCCTTCAAAACAAGGTGGTATGAGCATTATTAGTGTTGTTATTTTGTGTAATGATCTTCAAGCATCCTGTTAGGGCAAAGCAGCTGTGTGAGGGCCTCTGCTTTCTGAGGTTGTTAGCACCCCTGCCATTTCTGCAGTGCTTTTAGCTCATGACTATTTCTCCTAGTATGGTCAGATTCAGATTTTTTTCTTTGTTTGCATTCCTAGTTTTATAGGGTTGGATGAAATATATTGTGAGTATTCTCATGTAGAGTTGTAGGGTATTTTTGTATTGCTAAGAATATTTTATGCCTTGTAAGTTACTCAGATACAGTGAAATCATTTAAGGCTTGCATTTTAGACTTAGTGGGTGGAGTGAAAGCATCTTTTTGTCAACTCATTAATGAGCCAGTACTCTTGTAAATACTCTCCTGGGATGTCCCATGACTTCTAGTGTTTTTCCACTTTGATTCGTAGGAACACTATGGTGATCTCTGAGTGTCGTTTGTTAAGCCTGTGAGTAGTTTTGTTTTCACACTTAAGTGAAGGCTTTGGGGGGAACTCTGTAGATCTAGAGTTTGCTCTCTGTGCAGCCTTTTTGTCTCCAGGAATTTGATTTATAAACACTCGTCATCTTGGCCTCCTTGCTGCTTTCTGAAATACTTGTGCAAGTCCTCTTTCCTGAATGTCTTTAGTTGCACTGTCATGACTGCCTTGATGTTCTGAATCTATTCAAAACCTTTACTTTTCATGGTCATTTTGACTTTGAAGAAGAGACAGAAGTCATGTCAAACCTGATGCAAAAGATGAGATGTATCTATGAGCCTGTCTTAGTTACTTTTTACTCGTCGCTGAGACAACATACCTGAAGCCCAAAGTTGGGAAAGGAAAGGTTTATTTCTTACAGTTTTTGGAGGTTTCAGTCCATACTCAGTTGGCTCCCAGGCAGGGTGGCATGGTGGGGCTCCAGTTCATGGCAGCTGCAAACAGCAAGGCTGAGCTGGCAAAAGAGAGTGAGATACACATTCTTCCTGCCATTACATCACATCCTGGCTCCACCCCTGTGTGGGTGTAGCACTGACACCATCAATCCAATCGGTAGACAATGAACCATCACAAAGGCACAATGCAAACTCATGAGGCCTGGGGGACACAGATATAACCGATGACAGAGCCTGTCTTTTTGTTTGATGGCCCTGAGCAGCAGCATTCCTCATAAAGATGCTCCTGAAAGAAGATTTCCAGAACTGCTTCAGAAACTAGCAAGAATGATAGGATAAATGTGTTCGAAGTTAGGGGAAGTATTTTGAGGCGGACTAATGGCCATGTGTCTTTTTAATAATTTTTTAAAAATTTAATGTATTTTTGATCACCCCCTTGTATGTTCATGAAATTCTTCATGTACTGAATGTTCTCAGATTCCAAGTATTATATTAGGCCTCAAGTGGTGGGGAGTCTCTCCATTCATTCTAATGACCCCAGTTTTCTCCTCTTTGTTTTCCATCTAAAGCAGGGGCTGATGAAAAGGAAAAATCATACAAATACTAAGGATATTCTGGGTTTAACTATTGCACATTAAAAATAGCATAATGATTTTGATTGAAAATTTAAATGTCTTTTCAGGTGACTCCAAGTTTGATCTGCTATGTGAAGAAGACTCTCTTGATCTCAAAGATGTATTTTCAGTGAAACTGAAACGGCGTTGTTTCTTTAAACCTCAAAAAAGAGGCACTTTGCTAGGCATCACACTTTTCATCTGCTTGAAAAAGGAACAAAATAAGTTAAAGAATTCTACACTTGATCTCATTAATTACAGTGAAGACCACTGTGCCATATGGTTTAGAGAGCTGAAGAAAATTTTGGCAGGTGAGTTCTCCTTATGGGAATTTTTAATGAACATAGTTCCTTCATGTATGTAGTTTACAATCTAAATATGTCATATTTATGGGTACAAACAGTAGGTGATTATTTTGAGATCATATCTCTCTATTCCATGTTTGCCTAATGTTTTTGTCAGAAGAGGATATTGAAGTTAAGTACTTTTTCAATTTCAGTTGAGATGATCATATTTTGTTGAAGTGATATATTACTTATCTACTTGATCTATTACTTGTTTGAACATCTTTGAATTTGAGGAGCAAATTTCACTTGATCATGGCAATCCTTTTAATAATAACCACTTGTTGTGCTATTACATTTGATTCAGTTGGTTAAGGATTATTGTATTATTCACATAGGACATTGATTTATGGTTTTATTGGCAGTATCTTTGTCTGGCTTTGGCATCAAGGTGATGCTGATCCCACAGAATGAATTAGGTATCTTCCTTGAATGACCAAATTCATGAAGAAGCTTTGATAATTGGAAACAATGATTTTAAAAATAATTTAGTTCACTTGTGTGTTGTTTTAAGAGCATATTATTCAATTCATATACCTCGTGAGCTTGTTTTAAAATTTATTTTTCTTCCATCTACACCTCGATTTTAAGTATGTGTTATTTACTATTTCAAAAGTTTTTGAAGACAGTCTTTGAAGGGCTATGTAAACTATATAAGTTGAAGGTCATATCTTTTATGGCTAGTTTTTTCTAGATTAGTATCTAAGAACATGTTTGGGGCAGCTGATGGTACAGTTTGGGGTTAGGAAACTCAGGACAAAGATGATTGGCAGACAAAGAGCAATACACAGGGATGTCAGAAATTTCCCAGCCCACATTATTGATCAAGCTCATTGAGCACCTGTGCTGGTGACCACTAAGGCTGTGTCCATGAAGATAAACTGCAATGACTGCATTAAAACCAGTAGATCCAGTGCTTCCTTGTGGGCCCCTTAGAATCTTTAAAGAAACCTGATATTTTTAAAAGATGGTAGGATCTCACAAAGGCCATAGTTTAGTTCATCTCTCTGAAAATAGAAAGTATGTGTAATTAACTGAAAGCATTCTACTTTAGCAATGAGTCTTTTATACAGTTATTTCCTGTTCTTGTCAAAAGAGATAATTTACAAATGAAAAATGATTTCAATTGAATTGAATATGTTAACATAACTAGATACTCATAAAACATGCATGATATACAAAGTGAATATGTCATTATTTAGCAGAGGCGAACCCTTCCTTACCCAGAAGGTCTAAGAGAATGTCCCAGGGGGCTTATGAGAAGCAGGCTGATCTGACTTCTTCAGTGCATCTAACCCATGAAATCAATAGCTGGGAAGCAGAGAAAATCACAGCAAAGCTCAATTCCATAAAAGCAATTTTACTAGAATGGAAGGACTTGTCAAATACAAAACCCTATGAAAAGAATGCCCAGATATTTCTCTTAATGAATGATGTTTTGATTTGATGTAGAGTTGAAATCTAAACAAATTATAACAACAAGGAACCTGCATATCTTTTAAGCTTTTACCCCCTGCTGATGTTTGTTTTTGTACTTTTGATTTTGATGAGCGTTAGAGACAGTAAAACATAGAGGGTCATATTCTCTGGCATGATACTAGAGTACAGAAGTTATTTTACTGATTAAAAGCAAATATATTGACTTTTAAAAGCAAGCAGTGCGACAAACAAGAGTTGAAATCATCTGATGAGCATAAAGGAAGCTAATTAAAATACAGTAAATTCCTCCTCTGTACCCAAGTGAAATGCATTTATAGGAGGATCCAACTTCTCTTCACTAGCACTCCCCTGATGGGTAGTTCCGAGTCATCTTCACCGTTTACCAGTGAATGTGCCAGGCTCTGGAGCTCTCTACCAGTTAGTATATGGGCACCTTCTTTTCAAGGTTATGATCTTACAGCTTTTCTTAATATTTCTTTCACCTTCAGACTGAGTAATCCAAGTGTTAAAGTGCCTTCATCTGAGTCTGGTGTAGTTGGCTCAAATCTCCCTAAGCCCAGGAAATCCTACCCTTCCCAGTCTCTCTGGGCTGCCAGCTGTTACCTACCTTTCCCTGGTCCTCTGGCTCTGCTTGGCACAGGTCAGGTCTGTGTGTGCATTACCCACCATGTCACATTCACTGTTCTCTGACACTGTGCATCCAATCAGGCAGATGATAATTATTAATCAACCTCATCCTTCTTCAACCTCCAAAAAAAATTCCCCGCCTAAAGAATTGGTGTTTGGAGGTAACTTAAGTTTGAGAGATGATAGGTAGACGTTTACAATACAACAAAAGTATATATGCTTTATTGTAAAATATCAGACATGGCAATTTTAAGTTCACATGCTTTGATTTTAAGTAGTTCTGCCAGTAAAATCAACAGATTGATTTTTAAAATTGCATTGAGTTACTCTGATTTTGTCTGTATTCAGTAGCTGACATTTTTTTTTTCTTGCCAGCCTTTTGACCCACACTTCACCTTTTTGCTAGTAAGAAAGGATATGGAGAAGACAGTCAAACCTCAAATAGTTGGCTTTTTAGTCTAATCACTGTAATAATCATAATCTTAATAGTTTATATGAGTTATTTTCAAATGTGCACTTGTTACTATGAAGCAGAGCAACGAATAAGATGTGAGGAATTTTCAGTAAAATAACAAATTGGTGGTGCCAGAAGGCAGAAGAAAGCAACTCTCAAATTCTTGAGACTTTAAGTCTAATTGATGAAGAGTGACTAGGTAATTGTAAGTTTATAACATAAGAGTGCCAGAACGCTCTATTTTTATCTGAAAATACGTTAACTCCCTTTACGTGCCAATATTCTGCGTGCAGTTGAATGGCATCTTTTTAAGTTTTTCATAGTGGAAAAATCATCATAACTTTATGATGGGAAGGCAGTATAGTATTTTACATTCATCCCACGCATTTTGCATCAGACTCTTTGTGGCAAGCATTGGGAGCACGAAAATGAAGCAATAGCATTCCTAGATGAACTCATTTGCCCTGGAGACCAACAAAACACTTCACTGTATTAAATAACACTGCTCCCCCAGAAGAAGACTTAACCAGAAGATAACCAGCCTTGAAAACTCGAGATCAAAAAATGCCAGCCCCATCAGCGTCACTTAGATGTCTTGCCTTGGCTGCTCCGTAAAGCGTGTAGGGCGAGGATAGGCTGCTTGGCGTTGGCATTTTGACCTTTACTTTTCAAAGCTGATTTCTTTCTAGTTATGTTTACCTTTGGTGACACATGGAATTTATCATTGATTCAGAAATTTAAGTGTGTTTTAAAAAGTAATAAAGACTATGTAATCATTTTGGTGAAAGTATCTTAACATAGTTTTTTGTACTTTTTGTATTTTTGTGTATCAAAGACAGATACGCACAACTTTTAAATGCAACATCTGGCCTGGCTTGGTGGTACATGGATCTAGTCCTAGCCCTTGGGAAGTTGAGGCAGGATTTCCATGAGTTTAAGGCCAGCCTGGGCTCCATGGTGAGTTCAAGATAAGCCTGAACTACATAGTAAGACCTTGTATATACTAAATGTATTCATTTTCATTCAAAAGAGTTTCTACATTTTTTGATTTCCTAGAAACCTGATTTTTAAGTACCTGTGGACCCTAAACCAACTTCTTTTCTAGAAATTGTAAACTACATTTTAATAAATATATATAGGTTTTGTTGTAGGTACTTTATATAGGAGGAGATAACAAAATACCTCATAGGTTACATTCAAATTCCTGAAAACTTTGCAAAAGCATGCCAGTAAAGCATTTAAAAAATAGTAAGAGAAAAGAAATGCTCTAAAGCCTTATGCTTGAATGAATTGGTAAATACAGAGTACAATCAGGACAATGACTTCAAGGCAAGATGGCCTTTTGTAGACACATTTGGGACATTACAGGACCCTAACAGAAAGCATGAGCAGTGTGGCACTTCAAGAGGAGGTTCCGAAGAGGGAAGAAGAGTCTAAGTGATGGGAATAGACAAATGTTTGGGCGGAAATAGACTACTGTTCATTATGGCTTGTATCTATCTAGCTGTCCCCCTCAAAGCCTCTTGCAGTTCTAGGTGGGGCTTTTTGGAGGTGGCTGATCCACCCATCCACTGTGTGTGAATGAATTAAGAGTGTGTGAATGTGGATTAAGGATGTGATAACTAAGTTAGGCGGCTGATTTGTTTAATGTAGTTCTGGGTGTGCATAATGGGAAAGCCCAGCCTGAGTATGCATGACACTACCTAAAAGGATTGTAGCCCGGATGGATTAAGAGAGAAAGAGAGCTTACTGCTCCTGCTTCACTGCTTCACTCCTTCCTGTTCTGCATGGACTCTTTCTCTCTGTGATGTCTGACTGCCAAAGCGCCCTGCCTTGGAGCCAGCTGACGCTGGCCTGAAGCCTCTACAAACTGTGAGCCGAAATAACCTTTCCTTTTTTTGCTTATGGGTGTCAAGTATTTTGTCACAGCAACAAAAATGTAACCAAAACAGAGTTTTAAAAAAGCAAAGGACTAGACATAGAGTCTTAGGAGGATATTTATTATAATAGGGAAGAATTAATCTTAGATGAAAAGAAGCTCTTGTTGTGATAGTGAACCTTGTAGAGCTTTCAGTAATAACAGTGCTGTGGCAAGGGTGCCACAGATTCACTGCCACTGGTGTAGGATTATTGACTTTTTTTGGTAAATGTGATGACATTTTTATTGATTTTCTTATTACAAATTAGTACATGTTCGCTGCTGATATATAAAGGAGAAAAATTTAACTTTATTTTTGGTATCATTCAGTCTTGGTACATAAACTAGTTAGACTGACCATGGATCTCTGCATACAGTATACATGTGCAAAGGATTAGATTACATAGAATATGCACAGATAGACAAACAGATTTATAGTTACATATAATACATGTATGTACTTTTTCTCCTGTAAAATTGAACAGTAAGTAATATAAAGTCGAAACAGGTAGTCTTTAAATTACTAGA